GGAGCTGAAGAAATTGAACCCGACGTTGGTGATTAGATTTCTATATGATTTCTTGCCAACAGTAGGATATTCAGTGATGTACAGTACACGAAAAAAACCCTATATAAAACGAATTAATGTAATCTAGACTGTAAGAGCGCGTATACTTCACTTTTAACTTGACAATGCTTACCTGTAGGGACAGGGTTTCTGCTATAAGATTTTTGACTTTTATTGATTATTGAATAGATCTTAAATTTTACAGTAGGTGAACGCTTTAAATCCCCAAACTGGGCTGGATAAAACACGGTAACTATGCGTCGAACGGCAACCAGAAATCCAGAGCAAAAATGCCAAATCAATCCCTTTAAAGGTTTTCAACACAATAATTTTCTTTGGCCACTTTCGGAGCGTTGTCAACGGTGCCTTCAATATCGAATATCAAAAATACAATTGATTGAAATTTATTTTTAGCGAGAAGAAAGCGCATTCAGGATAACGCCATGTGTATGATTTACATATTAAATATGAATGCTATTTACATTAGTCGTCCCTACATTTGGGTTAAAGTGTTTTTAAGGAAGGAATAGACTTGTTACAACATTGCGCTTGCCATGCGACCATTAATTAAAATTTTCGTAATGAAAGAAAACGTACGATTAGGCGCATTGTAAATCTCCGTAAACTCGATTATACGAATCTCGTCTAAAACTTTAAGGAAAATTCTTCCGTATACCTCATTATAGAATTCGTCTTAAAACTTTCAATGGAAAATAATGTACGCCAATTTAAAATGCCACGCACACTGCATGACATAGTATATAAGATTCGCTGCGAAATTTCAGCAAAAAGATCGCTTTCCCACCAAATTTTTCTAATATAGTCGCAAGACCAAAACCGAAACGAAAGTAAGTGGCAAATCTTAGAACACTCTTTCTAGTCTTACCCAGATGACAAGAATAGCTGAACATTAGCGTTAATTATAAACATTTAATGGGACTGTAACTTACTAGCATGCGATCAAAAATGAGTTTTGCTGTCGGAGCACCTTGGATTTTGTTTGCATGGGAATCGTACTTAACTTAACTTCTGAAAGGGCGACTCGACAACAACTCATGATTGATCGCCGTTTATGAACTTATACCGTCACCGCGACTGCTAATGCCCGCTTTAAGAAAACGTTTCTCTTTAACTTCTAAACACCTACGTTTAACAAACGTGATATACACCGTATAACACTCAAACACTAATATTATAACATTCAGCATTAACCATTGAATTTATATTCAATGATAACGTTAAATGATTGTTTGCAACAAACACCAATGCGATCTACCTATGCTCTCGCGATACTGTATAAACGTAGTACAAAAATGTTTATTAAAAAATACTAATTCCTTTATGCCATCCTATACATTAAAAAAAAAAAACGCACTAGCAAAAAACCCTCATGCTAAATATTTAATATCGTTCACTTGCTAAATATTAGCGCATTTCATTTATTCTCCGGAATATTCTATATTGCTCACAAAAAGTAGTTAAGCTTTATGTAATACTTGATTATTATTCAGTTATAATAATCCTAAATCAAGATACATTAAATGACAAATAAT